AAAATAAAATAAAATAAAAAAAAGACCTTGGGAAGAGGTATAAAAACATAAGATTAAAGAACTAGTATGTAGTTTCTAATATAGTTTTAGGAAGGATATATACAAATAAAGAGAGTGTCCAGATGAGGAGAACTCACTTCTGGAGTGCTGTAGAATATTGGAGGGAAATAGGTAATTGCTTAAGTATTATATACTTTTGGATGATACATTTGATTCTGCAAGACAGACATAGGTCAGCTGGAGCAGAGAGCATTTGCCCCTGTTTGGTAGGTGTTTGTGGTCTAATTGGTAAGGTTAAACTCTAGAATGTCAAAGCGGTAGTTTAGTAACACAATCAAGATTGAAATTGTAGTTCCTAGGCCAGGCACGGTGACTCATGCCTGTAATCCCAGCACTTTGGGACGCCGAGGTGGGTGGATCACCTGAGGTCGGGAGTTTGAGACCAGCCTGATCAACACGGAGAAACCCCGTCTCTATTAAAAATACAAAATTAGCTGGGCGTGGTGGCACATGCCTGTAATCCCAGCTACTCGGGAGGCTGAGGCAGGAGAATCGCTTGAACCCGGGAGGCAGAGATTGCGGTGAGCTGAGATTGTGCCATTGCACTCCAGCCTGGGCAACAAGAGCGAAACTCCTCTCAAAAAAAAGAAAAAAAAAAAAAGGAAATTGTAGTTCCTTGTCCTGCTTTCCACCTTTGGGGAGTGGGGATTTGTTCTTGCAACAGTGTATTTAGATTATTATCCTTTTGAAAAAGGAAGATATATTGTGTATTTCTGAATTTCTTAGCTTCTGATTGAGGGAGAATCTTATTTGAGAAGAACTGAGTGTTTTTTTTCTTTGCTTATTCCTTGCATATACTTTGTTAATAATGTTACCTGAACATGTCCAAATGACCACTGCTTTCTTTGTCTCTTCTGTTCCTCTTTATGCCTTTTAATCTTTCTTCCTTTATCCATTTACTTCCCTAAATTCTGCTGCTTGCTGGCTCCATACGAGTCAGTCTCAGGCCTGCTGTGTTAACCCTTTCCCAGACGAAAACTTTACATGCAAGGACAAAGCACAGGTGTTCAGCATAAACCACATTGTTTATACAGTTTAGGCACAGTGAGCCATTCTTGTTATTTAGGGAAAGTTCATATCACTGTAGGGAACTGTTTACTAGTCAAGATTCCCAGATGTAAGCCTTGTAAGCAGGCCTTCCTAAGAGTAGCTATGCTGAACACCTGCTTTCCTTTTGAGAGTCTGGAATTTTGGTACTGCTAGGAAGAAGGTGCCCCTGTGGCCCTCCCCCAATAAAAGCCTTGGGCTTTAATGAGCTTTCCTGGGTTAACAGCACTTCACATTTGTTGTCACAGCTCATTGCTAGAGAAATTATATGGGTTCTGAATAGATTCTTAAATCTATTTGTATAGCCTGTTAGAGGAATAATACTTTAATTTTTCCTAAATAATACCTCTGTGACTGATTTTTTGAGATATATTGACTGAATCTGTTTCAGTTTCTTTTTTCAGTTTTAAAAACAATCATATCCCTTCTTATGTTTTCAACTTTATAGATCAGATGGAGAAGACGTAATCTCATAGATTCTTTTTATGTAGGAGTACCTTTTTCCTACTGATGCTACAGATCTCGGTTTTTTTTTTTTTTTTTTGTGGTTTTTTTGAGACGAAGTCTCACACTGTTGTCAGGCTAGAGTGCAGTGGTGCGATCTCTGCTTACTGCAACCTCTGCCTCCCGGGTTCAAGTCATTCTCCTGCCTCAGCCTTCTGAGTAGCTGGGATTACAGGCACGTGCCACCACACCCAGCTAATTTTTGTGTTTTTAGTAGAGAAGGGGTTTCACCATGTTGACTAGGCTGGTCTCGAACTCCTTACCTTGTGGTCCACCTGCCGTAGCCTCCCGAAGTACTGGGATTATAGGCGTGAGCCACCATGCTTGGCCAGATCTCATTTTATTTGACCTTTGTCTCTTTGTTTTCTGGCTTGACGTTTAATAGTCAAGGCTGTATAGAGTATGACAAGTGTAGGTCTTTTATACTTTGTTTCGAATACCTTTCTTGAGGCCCAGCATTTTATCGACTTTGTTAATGGTAAAAACATTTGTCTACTTCACTTGGGAAAAATTCTCTAAGTACCTTTTCAGCCCTAAAGTCATAACAAGTAATTTAGCATGTGTTCCCTCTTAGTGTATTTTTGACTGAAAGGAAATAAGAATTTTTAGCTTGTTCTACAGTAGAGGCTCGTAACCTTATAACTGCTCATATGAATTTTTAATTTCGTAAATCAACTGGAGTGAGGGAATAGATTGGCTGCTTGTTGTAATTATCTTCATGCAAGTCTACCAACTTGTAAACTGAGGCTGCCTTTCATGTTGTATTGTGTGGAATGGTGCCTCCTGGAGGCACATTACAGTTCTGTGGCCCACCTCAAAGACTTTATGATTGAGCAGGTATGTCTGAGACCTACTGGTGGTTCACAATCTATTACTTGGTAGGCTTGCTCTCTTGGAGTATGCTCTGAGAATGCGAAGAAGAAACTTATAATTTTTTCCATACCCTCTTCCCCCAGTTCCTGTTCTTCCCGTCTGGGTCTTCTGAGTTTCTGCCATAGTATTCTTAACCGTTCAGAATGAGCAGAGTTCATATTCCCATGAGTCACTTAAAGTACTGTACTACATACCAATTTCTATATTTGGAAATTTTAGAGTAGAATGGTAACGCTAATATTGTTCCTTCTCTCAAATCTTCTTTGGAAGTATCTAGGCCAAGCTTCTTTTCTTTGGTCTGTAAAAAATAATAGACCCTTAGATCTCTAAGTATTCCCAGGAATATAAACAAAGGAAACTTTTCTCCTCCTTCCATCTTATACCTTTAGGTAGCCTTCTGATCTATAAAAGAGCATGGAAGAAAGAACAATAAGAAGATACGGATTAAAATGTGTCTTTTTTTGTGTTTTAAGAGATCTCTCTCTCTCTCTCTTTCGTAACTGTATTGGTCTACTGCCTTCTCAACCTAAAGGTACATATTTGCAGTGAACTAAGAAAAGTATAGTCTCTGTTCTTAAGATTATAGTCTGGTAGGCAAGACATAATGTAGATGTATGTAAAATATTATGTAACAGTATGAAAAATGCAGTAATAAAAGCATAGTTAGGTATTATGGTGGCACAGAGGAGAGATAAATCAGTTTTGATTGAGAATAAGCTTCACAGAGTATGTGTTTTGAGTAGTTTAAAAATCTTGAAGAGCGAGTTAAAAAAAGTCTTGAAGGATTTTGTCACTGTGTATGCATGTGAGAAGTTAAGGTGATTATGGAAGGTGATTATTACATGTAAAGGGAGTAACATATGCAAAAGAATAGCATGTATGTTCCAGAAAGCAAATAACATGTGTATCATATAGGGTGCATATGAAGGAGTGATAAGAGGTAAAGCTAGTCTGTTAAGCTGAGGGGTCTCATAGGGCTACTAAAATTTTTTGGCTATTATCCCACTGGTAGTAGAGAGCAGTTAAAGGGTTTTAGGTAAGAATAAGACTATCAGAGTTTTACCTTAGAAAGATCCCTGAAGACAGGTTGGAGGGTTTAGTGAAAATGGAATTGAGTATAGGAGGATTACTGCAGTAGTTTGGATGAAAATAGTGAATGCTTAAACTAAGGCAAATGAGTTTAAAGACAAAGGTACAGTTTGGACAAAGTTTTATAAAGTGGAGTCTAGGAGATTTAGAGAGTGACTGGATATGGAGAGGCAGAAGAAAAGTTTTTCTGGGGGGGGACAGAGCCTTGCTCTGTCACCCAGGGTGGAGTGCAGTGTCATGATCTCGGCTCACTGCAGCTTTTGCCTCCCAGGTTCAAGTGATTCTCCTGCCTCAGCCTGACAAGTGGCTGGGATTACAAGTGTCTACCACCACGCCCAGCTAATTTTTGTATTTTTAGTAGAGACGAGGTTTTGCCATGTTGGCCAGACTATTCTTGAACTCCTGACCTCGGGTGATCAGCCCATCTTGGCCTCCCAAAATGCTGGGATTACAGGTGTGAGTCACTGCGCCCAGACAATAAAAGTTTTAATATGACTCCCAGGTTTCTGACATGGGCAGCTAACTGGGTGGGCCATGAACTAAGGTCAAAACTGTGAGAGGGAAGAACACAGAGGTGTCTAGTAGGGAGTTGAATAATGGGTCTATAATTTAGCAGTGAGCTCTACAGAGAGAAATTACAGTCTTCATCATGTAGGAAATAATGGAAGCCATAACTACATCTTAGATCACTGGCAGAATGTGTAGAGGGAGAAAAGAAGAGGATCTTAGGATGGAGTCTTGTGGGGGAATGCCTATAGTTAAGGGGTAGATGGAGGAGACAGCAGAAGCCTTTTATGTTTTGTGGCAGTGGAGGTTATCACTGTTTGAGTTAACCGTAGTTTTCTCTTTCAGGAATGGTAGTGCTATTGGCCTTCCAGTCCCGCCTATCACAGCCTTAATCACCCCAGGTCCTGTTCGTCATTGCCAAATTCCTGACTTGCCCGTGGATGGGAGCCTGCTCTTTGAATTCCTTTTTTTCATCTACCTATTGGTTGCTCTTTTCATTCAATATATCAACATTTATAAAACAGTGTGGTGGTATCCTTATAATCATCCTGCTTCTTGTACATCACTGGTAAGTCTTGTTCAGCCGTTAAGTTCTTCATGTTATTTAACCAAGAAACTATCTGGAAAGCCTTTTTGTAGGAATTATTTTTCTTAGTAATTTTTCATTTAATAAAACGTTTTTCTGCTAGACCACAGATTACTTTCAGAAATAAAATTTCATGATAAGATTGTTAAAATGTAAGTACTACCAGAGGAAGTCAAAATATAAATGAAAATGCAGAAAACATTTAAATAATTTATTATAATAACATCACAGAAAGGTTTTGGTATTTAGCTTTCTCTATACCATTTTAAATTTGTAAGTAGAAGGTGTCAGTGTGATTACATTCTAACAACTCTACCCCTTTAATGGCTGAATTAGGATAATGGTAGCATCTATTATAAATAAACTCTGAAGGAGTTGTCCTGGTTGCCAAGAGTTCGTCCATGTGGTCAATCAGGGGACCCAGGCTGATGGAGATTCTACTGTCTTCCAACATGTGACCTCCAAGGTGGCTGTGACCAATCTCTGTCAGCTAGAAGAGGAAAGAGCTTAGGGAAATATAAAGGAGAGTTTCTGATGGGCCAGGCTTACATCATTTCCACACATGCCCACTCCTAACTATAAGAGAAGCTAAATATAGTCCTTTAGCTGGGTACATTATGAACCTAAATAAAATTGGGCTCTGTCACCCAAATGAAATTGAGATGCAAAATTGGCTGTCTTTGCTGAAGTACATAAAAATATATTGTACTTTTCTTCTTTTCTCTTTCCAGCTACTAAGAGTATCATGATAGTCTTGATGCAAAGAAGGTTCACCATAGATGGGTATATAAAAAAATATTGGTAAGGCCCAGTCATGGTGGTTTCTGCCTATAATCCCAGCACTTTGGGAGGCCAAGGCAGGAGGATTGCTTGAGCCCAGGAGTTTGAGACCAGCCTAGGCATCATAGTGAGACCTTGTCTCTACAAAAAATAAAATTAGCTGGGTGTGGTAGTGCACACCTGTGATCCTAACTTCTTGGGAAGTTGAAGTGGGAGGATTGCCTGAGCCCGGGAGGTTGAGACTGTAGTGAGCAAAGATTGTGGCCACTGTACTCCAGCTTGGGTGACAGAATGAGACCCTGTCTCAAAAAATAAAATAAAATAAAAGTATAAGTATATGTATTGTTAAGGCTAGTCAGATTACTTGACAGATTTTTGGCATTGGCATATTTGGTTGGGTGATAGAGATATGCTCTAGGTGAAAGAAGACTGTTGTCCTAAGTAGGTTATATATGTGCTGGGGACTAATAAAAGATTAGAAAGCCTCCCTAGCTTGGTGAACATAGAAAGGAAATGTGGGCTAAAATCCTTAAGATAGTGTGGAAAGAGAATAAAAACTTTTGTCTTAAATATTTGCATCATTTGGTTGTTCCTGGAATTAACTATTAAAAATTTTCTTGCTATATTAACTTTCTGTCTACTTAATATCAGTGGTAAGAATGTTATTTTCTGTATTGAAAAATTGCAATGATTTACTGCCAAATTTAATTTTTTTCGTAGTCTTTTTTTTCTTAACTGAATTATGAGCTTATTGAATGTAGTAACTGTACTTCATTCATCCTTTTTGGCCATGGTGTTTTGAAAAGAAGTTGGATTAGATGTTCTTTAAGGCCTTTTCCAGTTATATAGCTCTATAAATAAATACTATCTTAACAGTGTCAATAGCAAATACATATTAAAATATTTAGCAGATTCTTTACAAGTATTATCTCATTTACTCTTTATGAAAATGGGTAGGTACCATTATATGACTCCCATTTTATAAATGAGGAATGTAAGACCTATCAACTCGTTCAAAAATCACATAGTGGCAAAGGGAGTGCCCAAGTCCAGACCAATCTACTGTGCTTTATTTCCTGTTTTTATCTTTATTTATTCTGTAAGTGCTTCTTGGATAGTTCATTATAAAATTTCTACTTGGTTTGACATTCCCCTGGAAACTTCTCATTTGTTGAATTTTCAAGATCATTGAAGAGTTCTTTGCCCAGTCTAACATGTCTGACTACCATTCTCTAGAAAGTCACCTACAAATATTGCCTTGAAACAGAGGGAGCCAGTATTCTTGTCATAATCAGGAACCTGCTGCTATAGCTGCTGACTCCAGAATTAATGCTTCCTTTGCTTTGACCCATACCACCAAAAATGAATGGCTTTTGCTACCTTTCCCCCAACTTCACTCACTTCTAATTCAAGTTTTATGTGATGCCTATGGTTGACAGAACCTAGATCATATCTAGAATCTTAGTTGCAAGAAAGTCTGGAAATGTCATTTTTAGCTTTCCAGCCCCTAGTAGAGGAATGCACACTTAATGGAGGTTGTAGAGTAAATTGGCTTGCTTATCTGATGCACATGATCTTTGCTAATGCAAAGCTTAAAATTGAGTTGTAAAGGCAAGAGTAACGTGAAAATTTAGAAGAGTTTAGCCTGTGAATCTGAAAGGAACCTGTATCAGTGAGTTGTTCAAAGAGAATGGACTGCCAGAGACCAAGTTTTTTCCTGTCACTGAAGGTATTGAAGTGTGGAAGGTGGTTACCTAACCAGGAGGCTCTAGCAAGGAATTGTGTCCCAAATATGTGGTCTGTCTTTTAAGTTTTCTTTATTATGAGTGTCTGGGTCAGACAGACACTCATAATAATTTTGTCAGATTTATATATTAGGTTTTTATTTTTCCATTTCAAAATCTTAAAAAGAAACTATGGACACTTGAATATGTGCAGTATCATTCTAGCTGTCAACCAGTTATCTGAATGAGTCTTAATCCTAAGAAACATAAAAGCCAGAAGTAGTAGATTATTCAGAATAGTCAGGAATAGAGGGCTCTGATGAATCAAATGTTCTGGGTTACAAAGAGTTAATCATAAGCACATTGCCAATTTTCATTGATTTGATTATAACATAATTTGCTTAACAAAAAGATGTATTAGGCACTTAAATATTTTGGTTTTTTTTGAGACAAGCCTTGCTCTGTCACCAGGCTGGAGTGCTGTGGTGCGATTTTGGCTCATTGCAACCTCTGAATCCCTGGTTCAAGCGATTCTCCTGCCTCAGCCTCCCAAGTAGCTGGGATTACAGGCACACGCCACCATGCCCAGCTAATTTTTGTATTTTTAGTAGACATGGGGTTTCACCATGTTGGCCAGGATCGTCTCAAACTCCTGACCTCGTGATCCGCCTGCCTCAGCCTCCCAAAGTGCTGGGATTATGGGTGTGAGCCAGTGTGCCTGGCCAATATTTTAAAAAATGTCTTAGATGGACTGGTGATACATTAATAAGGCCCAGATATCAGCAAGGGGTCAAGTGAATCTGCATGCATTATTTTGGAAGAGTACGGTAAGCAGGGAGGAGTCCCAAACTAGGAGGGGATAAATACTGTTAGCATCCATAATAGGGAGAATAGGAAACAATCTAAGGAGTGGCAAGCCACTCTGTTGACATTCTGGCTGCTCTGTCTCTAAAATGTGTACTAAATTTGGCCACTTCATTAATCTCCATTGCTACTCATACTGTTCAGTCTGTTATAATTTTTCACCTGAATTAAAAGTAAGAGCTTCTTAACTGATCTTGCCCCACTACAATAATTATCTCAGTCCAGCTTTTTTGCTGCTTTTTAGACACACTAGGCATATATCTTACTGTCTTAGGGCCTTTGTGATTGCTTTTTCTGCTGTCTGGGGTCCTTTGCCCCCAGCTTGTGATGCTAGGTGCCTTTTTGTCATTCCGCTCTCAGCCCAAATGTCATCCTCTCAGAGATAGCCTCCCTAACCACCAATTTAAATGGGCTCTGCACCTCCTTCTTAATCATTATTTATTACTGTTTTATTTCTTACAAGCAGTTTTAACTATTTAAAATGCTTTTGTTTGGAAGCTTGTTTATTGTTATTATTTGCACTGCTTCTCCAAACAAATTTATTGAAGATAAGGGTTTAGCTGCCATAACAAAGTGGCTAAAACAAAATAGAAACTTATTTCCCTATTTAATAAAAGTTTAGGTGGGTGATATAACATCAGTGTGGCAACTCTGTATTTATTGCTCATCCATCCCTGGTGTGCTTCTTCCAAACCATGGTTCAAGGCAGTTGCTCCAACTCCAATCGTAATATCTAACCAGCAGGAAGGAGAAGGAAAAAAGAAAGGGAGACAGCTCCTCTTAGAAGAGTATGGCTTAGAAGTTGTGCATATTACTTTTTCACTCATCCCTTGGCCAGATGTAGTTTTTGCGAGGGAGGCTGGAAAATGAACCTTTAGTTGGCTAGGAGTCAGTGTCCAGTTAAATTTTATGGTGTTGCAGAAGGAATGAATACTAATCTCTACCATTTCCTTTCCCTCTCACACCACAGTAGAAAGTAAGATCCAGGAGAGCAGGAACCTTGGCTTTCATGTTCCACACTGTATCTTTAGTGTGAAGGAGAGTACCTGGCACATTGTGGATGCTAGGTATAGATTTATTAAACTAATTAATTGAGAAATTTAACTCTTCATTCTGGAAGGAATTGTGGAAACCTACGGACCTTTTGACCATAAAATGAAAATACTTCCTGATTTTGGTGGTTCCTGGGATATTGTTACTAAAGGCTTTTCATGCGCTTATTACCATAGTTATATATACAGACTTAGAACTAGAAGGAACTGTAGAAAGCATCTAGGTAATGCCATTATTTAATAGAAAAGACCAAACATAAGGCATACTTCTAAATCAAACGAGATAAATAATAAATGAGTATAATTGATCTACCAACTACTAGAGGGTTTAGTAGATGCCCAATTAGATTAACATAAGCTTGCATAAGAGACCAACAACAGTAACTTCTGAAGATTGTGAATCCCAACTGATCTATTAAATTTGACACATTACAAATAAGTCATTTTATATAAATTATTTTTGCCATCATTCTGTAGGTTATAACTTGTTAAATCTGCAATCTTTTTGTTTTAATACAATAATACTTTTGAAAAGGGAGAGGAATACACTCCAGATAGTTTAATATAGTGTTTAAAAAGTTAAAGCAATTTGTCATGAAAGGAGAAGTAGAAGGTAGGTAGTCTTTTCAGGATCTCTCATATTCCCATAGTCTATAAGAGTATGGCGACCTAAGGAAGATCATTTGAGTGATAAACCTCTAGTAGTAGTGCCAGCTGGATACACATTGTATTTCTTTCTGATGTAGTTATTTGTTTCTGTTGTAGAATTTTCATCTCATTGATTATCATCTGGCAGCATTCATCACAGTGATGCTTGCAAGGAGGCTTGTATGGGCTCTCATCTCAGAGGTAACAGTTCATTCACTCTATTCTATCACATGTAGCTGCAGTTAGTTACTAGAATGAGTGCAGGTTGAAAACGTGACATGTCCCAATTTAATAAAACAATAAATTACTTTATTCCCTTGTGAGTTCTGCCAGTACTTTAAAAAAAGTTTCCCTGCAATGTATTTAAAATTCAAGTGTCAATAACTGTTAGAAAATTCATTTGTAGGATTGGAGAGCTTATTTTCAGCTTCTGAATTTGTCAGTACAATTTAAAAAAATTAAATAGTTTCAGTAAAAATAGGATGAATGTCAGGTAACTATTAATATGAAGAGTTATCTGTATACATACAGTTGCATCTAAAACATTCAGTTCCAGATATTTACTTGATACTGTTTATATATACCATTTGAGAAGTTTGTTGGCAAGAAATATTTGAGTTTCTTAAAACTTAGAATTTAAAAAAAGCAGTGCCAAAATTTATATAGGATTAATTTGAAGATTAGAATCTAAAGCAGAATGAGAAAGAATTAAAACATTAAATGATCTTTTTAAAATTAAAAGTTATTGACAGAGCTGGCCATCGATATTATTTTTCATATATTTGTAAATCTCAGTGAGGGAGGGAAATGTGCTTTCTTAAAATATTGTTATCTTGTGCCCTATAAATGATTACAAAAACAAAAAATGTTAATTTAGTTGAAGTGGCTAATAATTTTAATCTTGGAATTTATAATTCAGTATGAATTTTTTTTTTTTTTTTTTTTGAAACAGAGTCTCACTCTGTCACCCAGGCTGGAGTGCAGTGGCATGATCTCGGCTCACTGCAACTTCCACCTCCTGGGTTCAAGCGATTCTTGTGTCTCAGCCTCTCGAGTAGCTGGGACTACAGGCACATGATACCACGCCTCACTAATTTTTTGTATTTTTAGTAGAGATGGGGTTTCACCATGTAGGCCAGGCTGGTCTACAACTGCTGACCTCAGGTGATCCTCCCGCCTCAGCCTCCCAAAGTGCTGGGATTACAGCCGTGAGCCACTGCATCCGGCCAATTCAGTGTGACATTTTAAATGAATAGTTACCATAATCACGGATAATTGAGAGTCAGCTTCTTTTTTCCAAAACATACTTAGAAAGTCTGTGTGTGTAAGCTCTGATTTTCAGGAACCTTATTTCTGGAGGCTGAGTAATTGGAGATATTAAGTCATGTTCTGAGAACCATTTGAAGTTAACCAAATGAAGTTAACTAGTAGTAGGATTGCATGTTTTTCATAGTAGGAAAGTCTGTTTATAATCTTTTCTTTCAGAGTTTTTATTTAGAGGATGAAAACAGAAACTCACTTTTTGGTATATTATGAAAGCATGTTCTTTCTTTAGAGAATCTCAATGGAATTTTATGTTTTCATCTGTTAAAATAAGTAGGAAATGATTTTGTTTCATTCGTTTAGTTACTTAGAAATGCTACTTGTATATGTCCAATTAGTATGCCTACTTAGTGTGTAACCCTTCAAAATTGGAGTTTTTACCTTGTTGCTGCAAAGCTTATAACTTAAATTGCTAAAAGTAGTATAGCAGCTTTTGCATAACCTTAGTTGGAATAGGCTTGCAATTCTTTTTTTTTTTTTTTTTTTTTTTGAACACAGATCTCTTTTTTTGTTGTTGCCCAGGCTGGAGTGCAGCCATGCTATCTCCAAACAAGGTAAGTACAGTCCTTGAGGGTAAGTCTGAGAAACGTTTATGGCAATATGATATTGCCACGATCAGTAGGCTTGTATTTTTTTTTTTTTTNCAGTGGTGCCATCTCAGCTCATGCAACCTTCGCTTACCAGGTTCAAGTGATTCTTCTGCCTCAGCCTCCTGAGTATCTGAGATCATGGGCGCCCACCACCATGCCCAGCTAATTTTTGTATTTTTAGTAGAGACAGGATTTCTATTTGAGAATTATTTGTATAGTTTCATATGCTGTACTTTAAAATTGACATAGTGTTATGAATATTTTTCTGCTCCTTACCTAGCTAACACTTGCTTATCCTTTAGGTTTCAGCTTAAATATCATTTACTAAGACAGTCCATCTCTAGAATAGGATCTCTTGTTATTTGCTTTCCATAGCAGCCTACTCTTTCTGTAGCACTCATTACAATTATAAAACTGATTAAGTGTAAGCTTAATGTTTGTTTTTCTTGGTTAGGAAGCTTCATAAACACAGGTTTTGTTTGTCTTGGTTATCACTGTGCCCCTAGGACCTGGTAAAGGGTCTGTCACATATAGCTCAGTGATTAGCCCCTTGGGCTCTGGAATGAGGAAAAATTAATGAACAAATCCAAGCTCTGTGCTCTAATGACATTGGGCAGAAGCAGTCTTTTTTATTTCTAACCCTGAACTTTTGAAAAGGAAGTAATGGAATAACTCCAGTAGCTTAAATAACTTTGCTAAGCTTTAATATGTGAAGTACATTGGCATGAGGGTATGTGTCAGTGGAGTGAGGTGAAACTATGTGCCAGCCTATGGCTGAAAACAGCTTGAGCCGTCTTCACAGTTTGAGGTTAAGCAGTTCATTATGGCATTTATTTAACTGCTTCTTTGCATATTAAAGTAACTATATAGTATAAAGTATATTGCATATATGTTACATGTACTCTGTAATATGATCTGTAAACTAAGAAACGGATATATAGGAGGAACCTGAAAAGCTCCTTATCCCCATCATGTACTGTTGACTCTAGATAATTTTTTTCTCCTTTCTGGGTTCCAACACTGCTCTCTTGGAGGTTATGGGGATCCTCCATTTTCCCCTACATTTTGCTCATTCTCTCCTCCCTAATTTGTTTAGAAAGAAAATGCCATTGCAGAGTATGTTTTGACACGTGCTTACTATATTTAGTCAGTTTTAAAGATTTACAATTGAAGAAGCATATTTGAATAGCTGTGATAAAAAGAAGCAGAAGTGATTATGCTTATTTCCATGTTTGCAAAAGTTAAAAAAGAAACTTATTTATATAGGGATCTGTTAAGGAAGAACTGATTATCTTGAAACTTCGTTGATTTATTAAACATTAATTCATGAAGCAGATTAGAGGTGAGGATTCAAAGAAAAATAGAAATATTGTTACTGCTGTTGAGGTCCTTACGGTCTAGTGGGAAGAAAGACAGATAAATTAGTGCGAGGCTATGTTTATGTACATAAAAAGTCGCTGGTTAAGTTGTTAAAATATAGGTTGCTTGACTCAGATTTTATTCCTTACCTCTGGAGGGGAAAGTTGTTAGGAGTTTACATGTTCAATTAGTAGCCCAGGTGATTCTGAATATGGTCCAATGAACATAATTTGAGAAGCTCCAATGTAAACAAATTAGATGACATAATAAGACCTTAAAAGAGGTCTGTTGATGGCACTGTCAGGAAACAGCAAGAAGGAAACAATTAGCTGTGCCTGGAGAAGTCTGAATTTTCAGTTATTAGGAAGATAAGGTAGGATGGGGCAGTTTTTCTTTTATTTCATTTTTTAAAGACACATTTTAGCTTCCATGCAACCTATTAAGTTCTTACTTGAGTCCCATCTTTTGAAGAAGAACATTTATAAAGTGTTCCTTTTGGTGCTTCCACACTTTCAGGCTACTAAGGCAGGTGCAGCATCAATGATTCACTACATGCTTCTGATATCAGCTCGCTTGGTACTGCTCACTTTGTGTGGATGGGTACTTTGTTGGACCCTCGTCAATCTCTTTCGAAGCCATTCAGTCCTCAATCTCCTTTTTCTTGGCTACCCGTGAGTACTCCAGTTTTACCATATTATTAGTAAATCTTTAGAAGTTGTCGGTCATGTAAATGATACTATAAAAGAGTGAAAAATGAAATTCTTCAAATATAAATGAAGCATTTAGAAAATTGGAAAATCCACAAGTATGGTGAACATATAATTTGCTTTCTAAACGGGAGTGCAGTTGGGACAACAGGCATAAACCAGGACTATCCTGGGAAACCTGGAATGTAGGGCTATCTTACCAATGGAGAATATTTTAATTACCTCTCTTCACCAAGTATAGAACCCTTTTACTATCTGTATTGGGGCAAATGGTGGTTAATTTTAGATGAATGAACTGGTTTGAAAACCAGTCTTGCCCTTGGTTGGTCATATTACTTTGGTCTTTGGGTACCTGTAACAGAAGTACAATAAGTAGTTCTCCCTTATCCATGGTTTTGATTTCTGAAGTTTCAGTTACCCCAAGGTCCAGAAACATTAAATAGAAAATTCCAGAAATATGTGACAAATTATGTTTTAAATTGTGTGCTGTTCAGAGTAGTATGGTGAAATCTCTGGCCATCCCACTTTGTCTTACCAAGGTGTGAATAATCTCTTTGTCCACCATGTCCATGCCATGCATGCTTCCTGCCAATTAGTTGCTTAGTAGCAGACTTGGTTATTAGATGGACTGGCGTGGTATCACAGGGCTTGTGTTCAAGTGACCTTTATTTTACTTAATATGGCCCCAAAGTGTAGTTATGCTCACAATTCAGATATGCCAAAGGAAACACTTTACAGTGCTCCCTTTAAGTGAAAAGGGAAAGTTCTTGACTTAGTAAGGAAAGAAAAAAAATCATACTGAGGTTGCTAAAATTTATTGTAAGAATGAATCTTCTATCCATGAAATTGTAAACAGTATATTGTTACAATTGTTTTATTTTGTTATTAATCTCTTATTGTACCTAATTTATAAGTTAAAACTTCATTATATGTATGTATATATAGTAGAGGAAAAACCATAGTGTATGTAGGGTTTGATACCATCCACGGTTTTAGGCATCCACTGGGGGTGTTGGAATGTCTTTCTGCAGGTAAGAGGGTCTACTTTATGCCATATTCAAGTGCTGTAGACATGTATATGTATTATTATGTTTGTAACCAACATTTTATTACAAAAACTTTTAAACATTCAACAAGTTTGAAAGAATTTTACAGCTATCACCAGTGTAACCCTCACTTAGATGATTCCGTCTATTAATGTTTTACTATAATTGTGTAATACATATCTGTTCATCTATCCATCCCTCTATCCGTCGGTCCATCTTACTTTTGATGCATTTCAGTGTTAAATTTCAGACCTCAGTTTGCTTTCCCCTAAATACTTCAGCATATGTGTATCATTAACTAGAACTCGATATTTGTTTATGGCTTTTTTTTTTTTGAGATTAAATTCATATAAATAAAATTCCCAAATCTTGTGTATATGGAGTTTTGATAAATGTGTACACACCTGTATAACTTAAATCCCTATCAAGACTTAGAGTGTTAGGCATACTCCACAAGATTCTTTCATGCCACTTTTCCATCAAACTCCACCACTGTCTAGAGACAATTTCTTTTTTTTTTTTTGAGTCAGGGTGTTGCTCTGTCATGCAGGCTGGAGTGCAGTGGTGCAGTCTCAGCTCACTGCAGCCTCGACCTCTCAGACTCAAGCGATTCTCACCTCAGCCTCCAAAGTAGCTGGAACTACAGGTGCATACCACCATGGCCAGCTAATGTTTTTTTTTT